ATTTAATGGAAATAGGAACACAAAAGAAACAGATGTTTATAGTGTTGGGATGTTAATGTGGGAAATATTTGCAGGATGTCCACCATTTGATGATAGAGCTCACAATCATTGTTTGATTTTTGATGTATGTGAAGGTTTACGACCACCAATACTGCCTGGAATGCCTGATGATTATGTGCAAATAATGCAGAGGTGTTGGGATGTGGATCCATCAAAAAGACCAACTAGTACAGAGCTTTGGACATTTGCTAGAAATAAACGTAACGAAATTGTTAAAAATGAAGGTTTAAAAAATAATAATAGTAATAACAGTTTAATAAAAAGATTATTCAAATTTTCTAAAATCAAAAAACATGAAAATAACAACAATAATAATACTATTGGTAGCAGTGGTAGTAGTAGCACTTCGCAACAAGCACACAAGTCACATCCAGATGCGTATCATACAAGTAGAATATTAGATGAAGAGATTGCTAAATCTAGAAGCTTAAAAATTTATACAAGTAATGATAGTTCGTTGAATAATCTTGATTTTGGCTCTTTTCTCTAAAATGTTAAAGGTAAATTATTAATTAATTGAAAATTGCTACCCATTGATTATTACTAATGATATTAATTAATACATTAAATTCTAGTAACAATAGTAAAATAAAGATGCGATGAATGACTAATTTAATCTCCACTATAAATTTATTATTATATTTTTATTTCATCCTTGTTTTATTTCTTATCTTGTAACAATATTTTGAAATAATAAACTTTTTACAATTTTTGATTCTTGTTAAATGGTGATATCGTCATTTCGGAGCACACTTAATGGTATTAGATTACTGTAAATAAGTAAATATGGCTCTTTTGAAATGATATAAGGTTCCTTTTATTCACTTACGATCGATATGTTTCAGTTGTTTTCCCTTGTTTATATTTATTGACCGATTTCAACTCTACTTGTAAAACAACTTAAGTAGCTTGTTTAACAGGCTTGCGTTTACGACTACAATGATACTACTTCATTAATGCCCACTAGTTAACCAACATTAGTCCAAACCTTTGCTTACTCACTAAAGCAACTTACGTTGATAGCACTCACTAGTTAATTAACGCTAACCCTAACTTTGCTTACTTTTTCACTAAAGCAAATAAACGTGGCTTTTCACCAAAGTTCTATGATTGTTACTTTTTACCAAGGCACCAACTACACTTGCTGTTTTTATCAAGACGCTTTAAACAAATAAAAGTTTATTAAATAATGATTATCAGAGTTTATTTTATCATAATGTTAATTATTCTCTGCGAGGAACTTTTTTAACCAAAGACCAGAAGTTATCCTTATGAAATTTTCATTGATCGCTACAGTAAGGATAAAGATAAAGATGAAGATGGGTTTATTATTGTAAAGCAATTTGATCAATCTTCATGATTATTTACAATTTGATAATAATTATAAAAGCTTTGACTGGAACATTGATGATTTTATCTACTCCGATCATGTATCACGTTATTAATATAAGAGATGTTCGAGTTGGTAGTAAACGAGTGTGTGGGAATTGAACCTTTGTATTCAGCAAAAGAAAAACTTGGCTCCTTGGGAACAGTTAATGAAACAAAGGAGATTTGTGAGCTTTTATATTTTATTATCCTTTAAAGCAATTCACTTGACTTAATGCCAGCGAATTTGACGTAATAGTTTTACAATTACAATTGTGGCAACATTTCGTCAAACAACATTAGTTCGAAGCATCAAAATTAGCATTGGATACAAAGCACCTTAGCATCATCCTATCATGTTATTCATGATATGATGATGACAATTTTCTAGATATATAAGATATAGTGCAGGTTGTCTCAGACAATAATAATAGTGATAGCACCATAGTTGACAATCAAACACCACCAATGAAATTTTCTTTTTGTATGTAAATAGTGTGTGTGGTGGTAGTCGCCTGCTATTGATTGCTATTGCCAATTGCTAGTTATTATACAACTTTATATTAGTTCAAACAAATTGTTATTGTAATACAATGTTTTATGCGCAGAAAATTTGATTTTTTTAAGGACAAAAGTATTTTATTGGTTGCATGTGACACTAATAAAAAATAAGTTTTTTTGAATTCAAGGTTAGTTGCATATTCATGACCTTTCGTTTCTGAATTAGTAATTTCCGTGTCAAGTACTTCTTTAGAAATCTGGCTGATGTTGATTCTTGAACTGTAACCCGTTTTTGGTCAATCCAGCATATTTCAGCAAACTACATTTTTGGAAATTAGTACAAGCACGAATTAAGAACGATTATAGTCGAGATAAATATTTAATTTATTAATTAGTTAGTTATTGAAACTCTTAATTTTATCTGTTATATATATATAATAATTCCAACCATCAAAAATATAAGTATTTTATCACCTGTATTCTTACTCTCTTACACTCTTATTCTGTCATTCTGTCATTCTGTTATTCTATTAATTAAAAAGAAAGAATTAATCATTTGTTGTACTGTTACATGATAAAAAATGGAATGTATTTTCAAAAGTGTGACAATCACGTGACAGTCACGGGGTTCATTTATAAATGGGACTGGCAGTATAGAACATAGAGAGGGTGTATACATTTAAATAAACTGCATCTTATAATAAAGTTTCCAAGGAGATTGCTGCTGAATGCTACGTATGCTTGGCCTTTGACAAATATCTTTTCATCGGTAGAAAGGATGGGGTCAACAGCCCCTGTGTTTTGTGAACAGTCAATCAATGTCAATGAGAAGGAACGGGTGTTGTTTTCTGTAAGCTCTTTTGACTATGCTGTCGAATATTGGAAAGGTAACCTCGACATTCTCATCATCTATGAGTTTTTGTTACTATTCCAACTGTTCCATTACAAATACTTTCATAAAATGTATATATCGTGATAATTTAGATGATTTATTTATTTTTTTTTAAAAGAAAACCAAAATAAGTTGAAATGATAACAAATTTTTTATAGTCGCGTGACAATTCGCAAATCGTTGATCTTTTTTTTTAAATGAAAATGAAAAAAAATCAAAATCTGCATAAAACCCCCAACAATTATTGCAAATTTTGTTGCTGTGGCGCAGAGTTCAATTACTGAAATTGGTATTTTTGATTACACCGATTTTATTTAAAAATGAAACATAGTGACATTAACTATATATAAATAAATAACTTTTAATAAAGGAGTGAAATATTTTCTTTTTATAAAGGAGGATCATTATTAAATTATTTATATAAATACCACTTTCCTTATTTTTTATTTTTTTTTATAATTATAATTATTAAAAAAAAAAATAATCAAACAAAATTAATATATAATAATTTATAAAATGTTTTCACTACCGGCCGCAAGGCAAATAAAGGATATGAGTACGTGGGGAGAAGCATGGGATAAACGTTTAATTGATGAAAAAGTGGGGTTTTATCCATATGAAGAATTTGATGACGTTAAGGAAATCGCTGATGGTTCATTTGGTAATATCTATCGGGCTAACTGGAAAACCTCTGACAAAGTGGTCGTAATAAAGAGTTTTGGAAATTATAACCAAAATGCAAAACAAGTTATTAAAGATGTAAATTGTCGAACTATTTAGATCCAAGTTTTATTTTTGTCGTAACCATTTTTTCTTTAAAAAATTAATCATTTAATTCTTTATTTTTGTAGTTAAAAACATTGAATTGTGAACATACAAATTTTATTCGATTATATGGTCTGACCAAAATAGAAAGTAGGCGCTTGTTTACATAATATATATCATATATTTTTATTTATGACATTTGGTAAAAATTTACTATTTTATTTTTAAATAGATAAAGATGAAGAAAACACATCAAAATATTTTCTAATTCTTGAATGTGCGAATGGTGGGACATTACGTCAATATTTAAAGGATCGGGTTCAAACTTTTGATTGGCATATAAGATTAAATTTCTCTTTACAAATAACCGGAGCTGTACAATTTTTACACGAAAAGAATATAGTGCACGGTGGACTTGTAATAGAAAATTTTTATTTTCATTTTAGTTTTCTTGGTACTTCCTTTTTCTCAAAAATAAATTAATTTAAAATTTTTTTTTTATTTATAAAAAAAAATAAGCACCCTTACAACATATTAGTACTTGATGACAATATAAGAGTAACAGATCATGGAATTTCAAGGCGATTAACTAATTTTAATACTACAACAAATGTTGATAATTCATTAGTTCCTTATATCGATCCTCAATGTTTTAAAGTACAAGATGATAAAAATAAACCACGTCAATTCAGAATGAATATGAAATCAGATATTTATAGTTTAGGATTTATTTTATGGGAATTAACAAGTGATTCACCTCCATTTTCTAATCGTATTCAAGTGGATAAAGATTTAAATTTAATATCAGAAATTTCAAGAGGTCTTAGAGAGAAACCCGTTCCTGGTACACCTGGAAAATTTGTTGAAGTTTATATTAGTAAGTTGTTTATATTATTTGAATATATATATATATATGTATATATATATATATATATATATACATATATTAGAATAAATATTAATTATAATTTTTTAAACAGAATGTTGGCAAGATGATCCAGCCAAAAGAGCAGAAATTCAACAAACAGTATTTGCACTTAAAGCTCTAGAAATTAAAAAGAAAACATCTATGCATGATCAAAATTATCTTGCTCGAGACTTAGACATTAAGAATCGATTAAGTATTGGTACTGATATTAATTCACTCCGAAGTATGCTGGGACAATTGGCTTTAACACATACCACTGAGCCATCGATTTTTAGACCTAAACCTTCAAACTTGGATCCGTTGTTGATTGATTCAACCACAACCACCACAACTGCTTCAACTACGCTCAACACTCCTACACAACCAACTTCAGGACCGCCCGAAATAAATCCCGGGGTTTCAATTGAACCAGATGTCACCACCACAAGCTTTAAATCTAAAAATAATGAACCACCAATGTTTGAAAAAGAACAAATTCAAATTTTTGTTGAAGAACCAATATCTACGATGACGACTGAAACTATTGATAATCATGTAATTGATTCTAAAAAATATGATTTTATTTCTAAACTGGAAAATAAACTTGAAATCCCCAAAAAAGAAATTCAAAAGCCATTACCTGAAAAACTGCCAGATAAAGAATCTGAAAACATTAATTCTAAAATAACAACTACAATAGCCATGATGACTAAAAAATCAGAGCCCGATAAACTTACATCAGAGCCACCAAAGAATGTTCCTTCAATTCCTTCTAAAAAAGTCGAATCCTTGGCCAATGGTTTAAACCAAAAGATCTTAAAAACCGAAGAAGTGAAAATTGGTTCTGATGAGAAAAAAGTAAATAAAGAAGAGTCACCATCACTAAATAAAAAACAAAATCCTAATCCTATCAATCCTATTGACAATGTTGTTACAAAAGAAATCAAAAACACTTCATCACCAAATAATGGTGGTATATCAATTATTAAAAAAAGACTTTCATTATCATTAAATAACGACAGCAATAGCACAATTCCAAAACTCATCAAAGAACCTATCGTTAATAGTTCTTCTATTGCTAAACTTAAGTCAGACTTGGAAAACAATAGTGCAAACGACAAAACAGAGAAAGTCCCGTTAGGAAATCAGTCAATGAATAAATTAAATAAAGATTTTTCGTTGGTTAATGGCTCTTCAACTCCAAAGTCAGATAAAGAAACAACAACAGCGAATAAATTAAAACCCATTTCTGAATTTCAACAAAAAGAAGATACAGCGACACAGAATACCGATTCATCACTACTTCTTGGTTTAGGAAATTCTGTAAAAAATTTTAAAGATAAACTTGAGCTCCCTGCACCAACAAAGCCTAATCCTCCTTCTACAAAATCAGTAAAGAGTAGGAGAATAAGCATTTCATCAACTAAATCTGACGATTCCTCTAAAGGAGATATTTATACACCACCAAAATTATCAAGGAGAATATCTATTAAAAAATCTGATATACCTACCAGGCCTGACTTTCCACGATTAAAAAGTACTTCACCGCCTAAAATACCCGATTTTACATTAACGATACAACCCTTACCAAAAAATGAAACAGATTTGTCACAAATTATTATTCAAAGAACTGAAAGTGCCTTAACAATCAAAAGTTCTTCAAAATCTAAATCATCATGGATATCTGAAACTCAGGTTAATTCCAATGAGACCATCGATGATATAGCTCAAACTCCAGTAAGAAGAAAAGGAAAATTTGTTCCTAAAAAATTTATTGATGAATTATATAATATGCTAGTTCAATCAACAGACGATGGCAAAGAGTTTTACGAAATAAATAAATTGATGCATGAGCATATAAAAAATAACAGCTATGAACCATTTGATATAATTTATTTTTTGATAAAGGGTAAAAGAAGGCCACACTATAAGAGTCTTCTAGGTTACTTTTACTATGCGGCTATTGGAACTGGTGAAGATGACGAAAAAGCATTTGATTTATTTCTAGCAGGAGCAAAAAATGCAATCCCGATTGCACAATTTTATCTTGCAAAATGTTATCAATTTGGCTATGGTACATCAAGAAGTGACAAGTTAACATTTTTCTGGTATAGAAAGGCTGCATTTTATGGGAGTGCGGCAGGAGAAAACGAATTAGGATATTGCTATCGAGATGGAATAGGCACATTGAGGGATTCTGATAAAGCATTTGAATGGTTTAGTAGATCTGCGAAAAGGGGAAACCTTGAGGGTTTATGTAATATTGGAACATGTTATGAACTTGGGAAAGGAGTTAGAAAGAATTTGAAGAAAGCATTTGAAATATACAATAGAACTGCAGAAGCAGGATTCAAAGAAGGACAGTATAATTTAGCAGCATTTTATGAAGCTGGCACAGGTGTACCAAAAGATTTAGATCAAGCAATATATTGGTGTCAAAAGGCTGCTCATACAGGATTTAGAAGAGCTAAAGAAAAGTTAGCAAAATTATTGGCGCAAAAACAAAGTGATGAAACATCCAATTCTTCAAAAGTAAGTATATATATATATATATATTGTTTTAAATATATAAAAAAGGATTAATTTTATTGATTTTTTTTTATTGATTTTTTAGGAATAATCCCTTTTTTTTTTATTAGACATTATTTTTATTATTAATTTAATTTAATCTTTATTATTATTATTATTGCTAATTAAAAAAAATAGAATAACATATTATAATTATTTCATGTATATAAAAGCATTTTCTCATTCATCAAAAATATTTTTCAATAATTTGTTTTGTCAACTTTTTTAATCATTAATAAAATAATTCATATGGGCGGATTTTTGGAATTTATCTTTTTTTTCGTACCAATTTGATAATTAATGTTCGAAATAAGAAATATTATTTTTCAATTTCACTTTTTATTGTAGGAATCTATAATGTCTATATGTTCTGGAAATTCTAATGCCATGAATATCATGGAAGTTGTGAAAACTTGAATCATTGGATTAAATTTTGGGGGGGGGGGGGGTATTTGGATACAAATTTCTGATTGGCTAATTTGAATTTCAATAAAAGATAGGGTAATAGTAAGAAATTACTTATCTATAATTAATATTAAATTGTATATAAAAATAGCCCTATTACTATTACTATAGAAAACTTGCATACGGAAATTCCGTATGAATTATAATAATAATAATAATTTTTATTGCTATTACTATTAATGACATAAAAGCAATTTTCCCTTCAATTTTAACGCAAAATAGCCGGAAAATTTTTTTGATTTCTAAGGAACTTTATCTATAACGTAACAACGCTGTTTTTTTTTTATTTTTTAAATTTATAATTATTTAGAATCCATGACGAAAATTGCGTTTTCAATATGAAAGCACGTACATCAATGTTATGATTGTAACTAGAATTTTTTGATGTTGAATTTTCTACCTGTTTTCTAAGAATATGGCCGCGTAACAATTCTTTCTGATTGTACACCGTCAGATCTTACAAGAATATGTCATAATTAATATATCATAAAAAGTGGAATAAGATAATAATCTTTAAATCTAATTAATTATATATTTTGGTTGATAAAAAAACAAACTTAGCTTT